TACTTACTCAGTTTTTCCACTAAACCGGCTTCCTGAAACAGGGCCCAGAAGGTGGATGAAGGTAAACACTGATGTTTGTTACTGGAGTCACCAATGCAGACGTGTCCCTCCTGGGCCTCCGGAGCTTGAGGACCCGATGGTGTTTGTACTGAAGCACCTGCGGCTCCTAATCTTTTCCCACCAGATCGAACACACACAGTTTCCATTCCCATGTTTGTATACCTGTCCACGTGAGGACCCTCCCTCTGACCGTCACCTGCGTCGTCTTTCCCTGCAGACTGTTTTTCCTAAACCTCTCACCTGTACGTTGTTACACCCCAGCCCAGGGAAAACCGGCATGCGACATAAGGAAAATAAAAGGAAAAATGCCCCCCCACTCCCTGCTCTTAAGGAGGACGAACCAACAAAAAACAGCTACCACAGATTTCACAACAGCCAGTCAGTTTATTGAGTCCCAAAAGGTAGCAGGCATCAGGGTGAGCATGGCCAAAACAAACAAAAACTCTAGAAATGAAATGCAGCCGGCTTACCTTCACAGAAAACCCCAAACATAATTTACAGGTGTCTTACCTGCCTCCCTAACCAAAAACAGGAGAAAAGGTTCCCAAAGAAAAATGGCTTCTCAGCCCTACAGCTACCGAGTAAAAACAGTATCGACAACTATTTACAACACAGGGAGCGATCACGACAAACTGAAACACAGGGCTTAAATACATAGAGGGAGCAATCGGGGAACGGACAACAGGAGGGAAACACAGCTGGGGCGACTCAGAACTGACGAGACAAGGAAGCGTAAACTGAACACACTGAGATAAGACAGACCTTCAAAGTAAAACAGGAAACACATAACAGTCACGCCTAACACAAAACACTGACAACATTGGATCATAACAACGTTTAAAGCGCTCCTGTCCTCTGTGATCTGGATGTAAAGTGAATTTTGTGGATGTTTTCGTCACCCAACGCCAGTAAAGCCATACGAGGCTCTCTGTTCTGGGGGAGTCCTGGGGTTGCTCAGCCCTCCTGAACACTTGGAGGTCTTCAGACTTCTTCTCTGGTGTTCTGGACCTTTGTCAGAGGAGTATGTGGGCTCTGCACCAGCTTCTGTCTAACACTCATGAGGCTTCCTCACTTCCTCTTCCTGTTGCGTCCCCTGTGTCACAGCCCCTCCCTGCCACAGAGGCAGCGAGGAGATTTGAGAAAGTTTTTTTTATGAGAGTTTAACCAGTTTCTGATGAAACAACCCGACCTCCCAGCGAGGCCGGATCACTGCACGTGTGCACAAACATGTTGTTCTGAGGAAGACTACATGAAAGTTTCAGTTCCATTAGCAATAAGTATTGGAAGCGGTCGTTGTAACACAGGTTTTGGATTTGAAGCCAGTTAAAGTCAGCCCAGCATCACTGAGTGCGACAGGCGTCACATTTTAATCCAAGTGTCACCCTTCATCTACAGCACTGTGCAAAAGTCCTGAGCCGCCCCACATCTCTTTATATTTTGCAGGAGACACACTGTTGGCGTTTTTTAAGTCTTGAGTAATCACTCCCCAAGATTTTTGGACTGCTAATAACCAGAATCGTTTCCCAGCATGCTTTGCAGTGTGTCCTAAAAAATGCAATGAAACTGGACTTTCTACAGCACATGAGCAGCGTGAAGAGTCATGTCCAGCCACAGACATTTGTGTTTGCACATTTCCAGAAAGCGCTGCACATATTTCAAATTTTCCTCTGGAATATAAAGACATGAGGGGCGGCTCAGGACTTTTACACAGTGCTGTGGATAAACTGGTGAAGGGAGCTGCTTTAAATAGAAGTACCTGATACCTGTGCAGCAGCCCCGTGCTGCAGCCTGCTTCAGGACTCAGCAACGCTCACACAGTCTCAAACCGTGTGCAACCGACAAAACAACCAGTCCCGAAACACGCCCTGACTAACACACACACAGTGACACACACGCTTCCTTTTAAACCTGCAGAGGTAAATGGTGACTGCTGCCGCCCTCTGCAGGCTGCAGGGGGTAACTGCACGCTCTCTCTGCGTTACCATCAAAGAGACAAAGTAGAAGAATGAAAACCAGAGGAAATCGATGTTTCTGGCACCTGTTTGAACTTTGGCCTGAACGACACACCTGTGGCTGAAACACACCTGGACCTCGGTCTGCATTCAGCCTGTGTTTCTCCCGCCGTCGGTCTGTCTAACCGTCGTGCAGGCGTCCGCGGGGTGAAAAGGGATGAATGGCGAGTCTTAGGCGCACGCTCGTTACTGCTATTAGAAAGTGAGCGAGTGCACTTCTGATGAATCGCGTCATCGTAACTCACGACGACTCCACACATAACGAGCTCGTCCACCTCCAAACTGGATGGCACCTGTCAGCAGGTTAAAGAAGGTGTGTGTGTGTGTGTGTGTGTGTGTGTGTGTGTGTGTGTGTGTGTGTGTGTGTGTGCGTGTGTGTGTGCGTGTGTCAGACTGGCAGGATGCCATCAGCGTGGGTGTGTTGGACTGCGCTCAGGAGGAAAACTTTGACGTCTGTAAGGACTACAGCATCAAGTTCTACCCCACCTTCAAGGTACGTCAGCATGTACCTGCTGCAGGTGTTTACACTGATGCCGGTTAGTGTCGCCCCCTGCAGGGGCTGATGGGTAATAACCACCTCATTTTTCTATCCTCAGTTCTTCTGGGCCCACAGTCCACCATCGGAGCGAGGGACGACCTACAGAGGTGAGACTCACCTGAACGTCCCGCTCACTTCCTTCCTTCCTTCCTTCCTTCCTTAGGACTCGATTAAAAACAAACACAAGAATCGACCTTTTAAATAAAGACATGTATTTTTGTTTATGTTGTTAAAAACGATGACTGTGTGTGCAGGTGCAGACCGGTCGATCCCGTCTGTCCGTCAGCTGATGGTGAACGTCCTGCAGAACCACACTAATCTGGACCGGCCCAAGCACTACCCTCCTTTAGAGCCCTACAGGTACCTGGACCTAAACCTGGACCGGGTCGGACTCTGTGCCACTGCTAACCTCGCTCTTTATGTTCGTCTGCAGCGCTGCTCAACTGCTACCTCTGCTGGGTCAAAGGTCAGATCACTACACGGCCATCCTGGTGGAGGAACCGGACTCGTACGTGGGGCGAGAGGTAACCAGAACAGGAAAGAGGAGACTCGGTCAAAGTCACAGATCAGAACGGGAACAGGAAGCGCTGTCCAATAAACCTGCAACACACGGAGACGAGCGCGTCGATTTAGAAAACTCAGTGTAGCTTCAGTTTATATACGTTTACAATACAGTCTGTGCTCTTATTTTGAAAGTTCAGTCACCACCAACCTGCTGAGGACTTCCTATCCTGCTTTCCTACAGCACACTTTGCCCGTCTGTACATCCGTGCATCTGTCTGAAGGAGCGCTTCAGCCTCATGTCTCTCTGATGTCCAGCAGGGGGCGACACTCTGCAATGAGCTCACCTGGAAACTTGCTGCTGATGAGTTTGAGTTCTCATCAGCAGTTTCAGCTGTGACAGAATAAACATGACGTTTATGTTGGAGATGATGGTCCCGTTAGAGTCAGAGGAACAGGAAGCAGGGGAGCATTCAGGGCGGGGCTAGTTACATCCAGGTTATAAAGATGGAGGTGGTACAAATGCCCACCCCAAGAGTGACATCATGGTAGTTATGGCCATCTTTAATATACAGTCTGTGTTCCGTACGGGTGCAGCAGGTGTTGGTTGGTGTCCTCACCTGTACAAACCTGTGTGTCTCCAGGTGATCCTGGACCTGCTGCAGTATTTGGGTGTGCAGGTGAAGAGAGCTCTGAGCTCTGATCGCCCCCTGGTGGACGCTCTGAAGCTCACTGCCTTCCCTGCCATCTACCTGCTTCATCCCAATGGGACACATGCACACCTGCACAGGTAAAGTTGAACCCTTGGACAGTAACAGGGGGAGTAACCGATGTTCGATTTTCTGACTGACACCTCCTTCTGCAGCGAGAAGCCGCTGCGTTTCTTCTTCTCCTCCTTGCTGAGGACGTTACCTGGAGTCCAGCGCCGTTTAAAGTCAAGCAGCACCAGCAGTTCCGGTGCGAGCCAGGTGGGGGCGCTGCCGGGCAAACAGAACACAGAACCATGGAGGGACTTTGACAGGTAAGAGACTCGCTCTGATCGGGTCAGGTAGAATGACTCGGACCTCAGATCAGGTGACCTGTACGTCTCTGCAGGTCTAAGGTGTACACGGCCGACTTGGAGACAGCGCTCCACTACCTGCTGAGGGTCGAGCTGGCTACCCATAATACACTGGAAGGGGAGGAGCTAAAGATCTTCAAGGACTTGGTGACTTTAGTGGCAAAGGTAACCACGGCAAGCAGAGCAGCTTTGCATAACTCACAGTTCATAATACTCAGTGCAGCCTGTGCCTGAAACAAGCTGTTTTAGCTCCTCCTCCAAGATGGCGTGATTCTCACGCATGATCAATGAAAGTGTTGACATGGAGACCGGCCATCGTGTTCATCCTGTATGGGATTCAGCGTCCCTCTGAGCTCACAAACCCGCCACAGCTGCTGTCACCGTCTCGTTCATTTAAGCACAAACTGACGCCTCTCTGTGTTTGCAGCTGTATCCAGGTGGCGGCTCTGTGGTGAAGTTAATGGAGACGCTTTCTGATTGGCTGCTCAGCATGCCGCTGCAGCGAATCCCGTACCAGGCCGTCCTGGACCTGGTGGATAACAAGATGAGGGTGAGACGCTGAACGCCAGTGCTGCGGTCGATACTCAGGAAACGAGTAATAGATTACACATCAATCATACAGAGCCTTATGTAGTTACTCACTGTAGAAAGTAACTTGTCACACTGCTGTTACAGAATGTAATCTTATTACACTAACACTTTACTTTGGTACAGTATTACAGCCGACACACACACAGATGCTGACTTCCCGCTTCCTGTGTAGATCTCAGGTGTGTTCCTAGGGGCGGAGCTTCGTTGGGTGGGTTGCCAGGGGAGTAGGGCGGGGCTTCGAGGCTACCCGTGTTCCCTCTGGACCCTGTTCCATGTTCTGACTGTTCAACATGATGCCAACCCCACCGCACTGGACAACACAGGTGTGTGTGTGTGTGTGTGTGTGTGTGTGTGTGTGTGTGTGTGTGTGTGTGTGTGTGTGTAAAAGGTGTCTGATGTTTGGTGCCAGTCCAACAGTGTGATCGCCCCACAGCTGAGCTCAGTTTTGTTTTCCACTTCATTCAGTTGTTGTTGTAACTCAAAGGAAAATTCCAGAACGTTTCCCTTTCAGTGTTCAGGGATCAGAGCTCTGCTCGTCTGCAGCGCTCCCTGAAAACAGCCGCTGTGCACGAGCAGAGCAATAAAACCCACCAGTGACTCTAAACGGACCTGCCTCTGTGACACAGGTCTGGAGGCTGAGGCGGCGCCGGTGCTGCAGATGATGCGCCGCTACATCCGAACCTTCTTTGGCTGCCGGGAGTGCGGCCGGCACTTCGAGCAGGCAGCAGCGGTCGGCATGGACAACGTACAGAACAGAGAGCAGCAGATCCTCTGGCTGTGGCAGCAACACAACCGGGTCAACATGAGGCTGGCAGGTAACACGCACACTCGGACATTCGCACGCGCGCAGTCTTTATACACACAGGAAGCTTGATCAGATTTATTGATGATCGCTGTCATCCGAACCTTGTTGACCCTCCTCTTCTCCCCCCGCCCTTCCAGGCTCTCTGAGCGACGACCCCCTCTTCCCTAAAGCTCCATGGCCAAGCCCCTCCCTCTGCGCTTCCTGCCACGAGGAGAAAAACGGCGTCCACGTCTGGAACCAGGACAACGTCCTCCGCTTTCTACGACAACACTACGCCGCCTCCAACCTGTCCCCCGAGTACTCCGTGACCCCCCCTCGACTTCCTGCTCCTCCAGTTCCCAAGGAGCACGAAGGAGGCGTGAGGGGCGACTCGGAGAAGAAGTCCTCCACCCAGACTCCTCGTCCAGGACGCCAGGCTGTGAAGGGGGAGGAGAGGAGGGAGGTGGTGGGTGTGGCTGGAGGAGGGGGCGGAGTCTGGCTTCTAGGCTTTAACAGTGTGGACATGAGTCTGTGTGTGGTGCTGTACGTGTGCTCCTGCCTCTTCCTCATGCTCCTCTTCTTCTTCTTTAAAGTGCGATCCAGGAGGTGGAAGCTCCGCTCCTCCCGCCTCCACGTCTGACCCGGCCCGGGTGGAGCCAGGACCAGAGCTGGTTCTGGTTCAGGGCTTTTTCTCATAGACTGATCGGCGCCTGATCAGATGGCAGGAGTTTAGACCAAATGTGAGCGGCACAAACAAAGTGATGTTTGTCTGTGGAGGCGAAGCTGAACGCTTCCTCTCGCTGGGAACACGAGCGATGAAGAACAAGCTCTGTGGCCGAGGACGAAGACCCACAACCGTGTAACTGACCCTGAGAATTATCTTAAATAAACATGTGACAGACTCTGGTCCTTCTGGGGTCGAGTGAAGCCACGACTGGACCAGAGCCGAGGAGTCCGTCCCGACGGAGCCGAGATAAAAACCTCTAAACCCTGAACCGCAGTCAGCCCTGAACCAAGCCACAACCAGCCCTGGTTTTGGATTTACTCACTCGTATGTGGACACCCGTCTGGACTCTCAGGTCTGAATGTATTTATTTTTACCTGTCACACTCCTCTGGACCCTCTGACCAGGTGTCTGAGACCTGGACAAGCTGCTGTGGGCTGGGTTCATTTCCCAGAATCCCACAGGAGGACCTAAGGGTAGACCCTTAACAGCCTGGACGTGACAGTATCAAAGTGAGTTCACTTTGTGCCAAACCTTTAACCAGCTAACAGAAGACACACCTGTCCTCTCAGGCCCCGCCCACTCCGTGCGTGTGCTGTTGTATGTCTGTGTTTGTGATAGGAGGGAAACCCGTCCTGATAAACTGATGACTGATTGTAGTTTTGAAGTTTCTTTTTGTGAAGTGATTCAAATATGAACCATGTTTATCACTTTAATTTATTTCCTGTAAAGAATTCGAACCCCAAAGGCCCAGAGTGAGTTTGTTTTCTACTAAACAACCAAAATGACGAAGCACATGTGAAAGCCGTGTTTACCGGTTGTATAAATGTTTGTCTTTATGTTCCAGATTATTTTCTTCAAATAAAATCAAACTGCTGAAACCTGCAGAGGGTCGTTTTTACCCAGAAATGTATTAAACCGTTGTTTCCGTTTGTCAGGGAGTCGTGACTTTATGAAGTCCTTCAATAAGCATAATAAGCAATTCATTTTTGATGTGTTCAAATTTTACAGGGAAAAAAGAACTACAGGGTGGGCCAGGGATACAACTTTTGTTTTTTCAATAGGAAGAGGGCCATGTGACACATCAAACTTATTGGTAATGTCACAAGAAAAACAATGGTGTGCTTGGTTTCGACGTAACTTTATTCTGTCATGAGTTATTTACAAGTTTCTGACCACTTATAAAATGTGTTCAATGTGCTGCCCATTGTGTTGGATTGTCAATGCAACCCTCTTCCCCCACTCGTCACACACTGATAGCAACACCGCAGGAGAAATGCCAGCACAGGCATCCAGTATCCGTAGTTTCAGGTGCTGCACATCTCGTATCTTCACACCATAGACAATTACCTTCAGATGACCCCAAAGATAAAAGTCTAAGGGGGTCAGAGCGGGAGACCTTGGGGACCTTTCACTGGCCCACGACGACCAATCCACTTCCCAGGAAACTGTTCATCTAGGAATGCTCGGACCTGGCACCCATAATGTGGTGGTGCACCATCCTGCTGGAAAAACTCAGGGAACGTGCCAGCTTCAGCGCATAAAGAGGGAAACACATCATCATGTAGCAATTTCAAATATCCAGCAGCCTTGAGGTTTCCATTGATGAAGAATGGACCCACTATCGTTGTTCCCATATACCACACCAAACCATCACTTTTGTTGGTCCAACAGTCTTGGAGGGATCCATCCAATGTGGGTTAGTGTCAGACCAATAGCGGTGGTTTTGTTTGTTAACACCATTCACATAAAAGTTTGCCTCATCACTGAACAAAATCTTCTGCGTGAACTGAGGGTCCTGTTCCAGTTTTTGTTTTGCCCATTCTGCAAATGCTGTGCACCGATCTGGGTCATCCTCGCTGAGATGCTGCAGCAGCTGGAGTTTGTAAGGGTGCCATTTGTGAGTAGCTAATATCCACCGAAGGGATGTTCGACTAATGCCACTCTCCAGTGACATGCGGCGAGTGCTACGCTGTGGGCTCTTGCTGAATGAAGCTAGGACAGCCACTGATGTTTCTTCATTAGTGACAGTTTTCTTGCGTCCACATTTTGGCAAATCCAACACTGAACCAGTTTCACCAAACTTAGCAAGCAGTTTGCTGACTGTAGCATGGGAGATGGGTGGTCTCGTACGTGTCTTGCATTGAAATCTGCTCCAATGACCCGGTTACTGCGTTCACCAGATATCAACACGATTTCGCTCCTCACGTGTTAACCTCTTCGACATGTCAATGGCTGTGAACAAAGAGAAACTTGTAAATAACTCATGAAGGAATAAAGTTATATTGAAACCAAGCACACCATTGTTTTTCTTGTGACATTACCAATAAGTTTGATGTGTCACATGGCCCTCTTCCTATTGAAAAAACAAAAGTTGTATCCAAGATGGCCGACTTCTAAATGGCCACCATGGTCACCGCCCATCTTGAGGAGTTTGCCCCCTCACATATACACAAACAGGACTTTAATATCACCAACCATTCCCATGTTATTACGGTGTATCCATATACATACATACATATACTTATTGGATTGATCAAAGTGAAAGTCCAAAGAAGTCAATGACGGTTTCTAAATATCTGCAGATTCAAGATCAGCTTAAACAATTGTATACAAGTTCAAGTTATTCAGATCTGTTACCCCTTCCCGAAGTCTGGGAAAAACATCCAAACTGTCCCCCTCAGATCTGAGGAAAGTGGTTAGGATATTCAGGAATAACCCGGGAACCACAAAGGCTCAAGCCTGCTATGAAGTAGAAACCAATGCTGCAACACCAGCTGAACTACACCTGCCAGCAGTCATCAGTGAGATGCTGGGCTACAAGATGAACAGCTACAAGGAGCAGTACCCACCATGGAGAAGGAGACTAGAGGCCAAGATCAAGGTAGCACAGAGGGAGGTTAGCCGACTGCAGATCTGCAGAAAGGTGCGATGAAGACGGTGTCCATACCCGAGGCCTTGGACACTGCCAAGCAGCGACTCACAGCCTTGGCCAGCCGCTTGAAGAGGTACACCAGAGAGATCAAAGGCAGGACAATGAACCAGCTGCTCTCCACAGAACCAGCCAAGGTGTACTCTCAGTGGCAAGGGAACAATATGAGAACAGCACCACCAAGGCTGAGCAGTACTGGAAGAGCATATGGGAGAAGGACGCTGTTTTGTTTGTCTCCTTATTTATGAAGAAAGAGTCCTTTTGTGATCTGCGACATACTTTATTATCCATGCTTGGTTAGCCGGAAAAACAACAACCACCCCTCACCTCTTAGCGCTCATGCCCATGTTCTTTACAGATAGTGCCACCTTGTGGTATGGCATGAAACTATGTTAACTCACAGCAACAGCTGCTTATCATTACAGACGGAACAATAACAATGCTCAGTGGCTAGTGGATCTGAGGGCAGACCACAGCAACCTCCCTGAACAGGGTCCAGTAACCATCACAGTGGCAGACATCCAAGAAAGGTTCACGCCTACTGGCTGAAGAAGCTGATTGCACACCACGAGAGTCTGGCAGCACAAATGAACCAGCTGCTGGTTGATGAGAGACACCCAGAATGGCTAACTGAAGGCCGGACAGTCCTGATCCTCAAGGACCCCCAGAAGGGACCGGTCCCCTCCAACTACCGACCAATAACCTGCCTCAGCACCACCTGGAAGCTCCTGTCATGTCATGGACTGGCTGTGTGGCAGGCAGGAAATAGGACCCAAACGCAAACTCACGGGGAAACAGGACTGAACTCAAAATACAGCTTTATTGCTGACAAAAGATGACAAGAGATAACAGCGATACAAAATAACATGAAACTAAACTGGGAAGTACTAGCAGCAGTCAGCCGAGACTGCAAGACCAGACTGACCAACCTGTGCACTGCCTGGATTGATTACAAGAAGGCCCATGACTCAATGCCCCACAGCTGGATACTGGAATGCCTAGAATTGTACAAGATCAACAGGACCCTGAGAGCCTTCATCAGGAACTCAATGGGGATGTGGCGTACAACACTAGAGGCCAACTCCAAGCCCATAGCGCAAGTCACCATCAAGTGTGGGATCTACCAAGGAGATGCTCTGTCCCCACTGCTGTTCTGCATAGGCCTGAATCCCCTCAGTGAGATAATTGACAGGACTGGCTATGGATCCCAACTAAGGAGTGGAACAGGTGTCTGTCACCTCCTGTACGTGGATGACATCAAGCTGACTTACTGATCCACACTACCAGGCTATACAGCAATGACATCGGAATGTCATTTGGACTGGAGAAATGTAGTCGGATGATAACAAAGAGAGGGAAGGTAGTCAGAACGTAGGGGATCGAACTACCAGGAGGCAACATTGCAGACATAGAGGACAGCTACAAGTACCCGGGAATCCCACAGGCAAATGGGAACTATGATGAGGCTGCTGGGAAAGCTGCAACCACCAAGTACCTGCAGAGGGTCAGGCAAGTCCTGAGGAGTCAGCTGGCCAAAGGAGGAGATAGAAGCCACTGACAGTGAGACCCTTTGTGATGAGAACAGTAGATGACCAGCTGACGGTCCAAACCGGCTGCTGGTAACAAAGGATGTGTTCTCTGGAGTGACGAATCACACTTCTCCTTCTGGAGTTTGGGTTTGGCTGTTGCCAGGACAACGGCACTTGTCTGACTGCACTGTCCCAAGTGTAAAGTTTGGTGGAGGGGGGTTATGGTGTGAGGGCTCCAGTTAGGGGGGAACTCTTCATGCTCAAGACATTTTGGACAGTTTCATATTCCCAACTTTGTGTGGCCAGTTTGGGGATGGAGCTTCCTATTCTAACTCAGCTGCACACCAGTGCACAAAGCAGGTCCATAAAGACATGGATGAGCCAGTTTGGTGTGGAAAAACTTGACCGGCCTGCACAGAGTCCTGACCTCAGCCCCACAGAACACCTTTGGGGTAAATCAGAGACTGTGGGGCAGGACTGTTCGTCCAACATCAGTGTGACCTCACAAATGTGTTCCTGATCAGAAGTTCCCATAAACACTCCTAAACCTGTGGAAAGACTTCCCAAAACAGCCGAATAGGTTACAGCTGCAAAGGGTGGGCCGACATCACATAAAAGCATGTGATCTGTTATCTGTCTAGCTGACAGATAACGATGTGCTGCCTGGTGGCTACACATCTGTGATCAGACTAAAACATTCACAGCTCTTTGGAGGACGAGGGTTACACTGTTCTCAGCAAAGTTCTTCTTAAAGGTCTTGGAAGGCGAAGACAACACCATCACATGACAGGAAGACGATGGTCCATCCACAGCTCGAGGTCAGTCATTAGCCTGCTCTGAAAAAGTCCCGATCCTCAGCTCGTGCTACTGACTAGAGCAGGGCGATATGGCCAAAAATATTTATCACGATATATATTTGAAAATTTGCGATGACAATATAACTGACGATTTAATTGATGCGAGACAAAATACAACTCCACAACTTTACTAGCGCAAAAAAAACCCCATGCATTTATTTTCACTTAAACAAGCAGCTGTTTTTTATGTGCATTAAAGCTACATAAAAATTTAACAGTGCAAATGCAAATTCCTTGCTGAAAGTTGAACCAAAAGGCATTTCCAGTGGAAATGGGCTGAAATATCCTGAGTGTAACCGAGGACAAGGTAGGAGTAAAAGGGACAAGGAAATAAATTGATAATTTATTTATTACATTAATTAAACATTCAAATTCCCAGTTATTTCCAGACAGGACTTACAACACATCCTGCTGATATCCAAGCTGCACATGACACTTACCACACAAACGGTGCAAAAAATAACACAACACTGCAAACCATCACACGCCGTTTAGCGACACTGCAATCGTGGCACGCACTGCAAACACCTCGGGTTTCAGTACAGCTGGGAATCAGC